AGGGAAAGAGGAAAAGGACGGGAAAAGAGAGGGAAAGAGGACGGGAAACCGGGGAAAGGGAAGCGAAGGGAGGGAGCAAGGCGCCCCGCCAGAGGCAGGCGCGCGCGCAGCGCGACGGGCGCGCGCGCGAGCCGCAGGGCGAGGGCGCGCGGACGCGGGGCGCGGACGGCGCACGGCGGGCGAGCGAGCGGCAGCGGCGGGGCGACGGGCGAGAGGGCGCAAGGAAGGGGGACCGGCCGCGCGGCGGGGGGAAGACGGGCGCGCGCAGAGCGCGGCGGCGACCGGGGGCGGCGGCGCGGGCGCGGCGGCGACCGACCGAGCGGGCCGGCAGGGCGACCGGGGCGGACGGCACGCCGGGGCGCGCGAACCGGCCGGGCGAGCGGGACGGGGGGCGCACACGACGCGCCGAGGGCGGACGACCAGACGGCGCCAGCCGACCCGGCGGGAAACAGACCAAGGAGGCGAACAGGGGCGCGAGGCGCCGGGGGAGCGAAACCCGGGGGCGCAAGGAAAGGAAAGGCCGGCCGCGGACGGGGAGGGGAGAAGCGGCGGGCACAGGCGGCGCCGCAGCAGCGACCGACCGGGGCGGCGCGCAGAGAGGGGAGGAAGAGCGAGGGGGGGACCCGAAAGAGGGGGAACGAGGCCTGAAGGGGGGAAGCCAGCGGAAACACGGGGGGAAGCGCGGAGCGAGGCGGACGGGCAAAGCGAGCGGCGAAGGGGGAGAGGCGGCGAAAGACGAAGCGAACCAGCGAGGAGCGGGGGCCCGCCGAAGGGGCCCGCAGGAGAGCGGGAGGTCAGACAGGCAGGAGCAGGGAAAGCGAAGGAGGGAGGGCGGAGGGGCGAAGGACCGGAACCGAGGCGCAAACGGGAAAGGGGAAGAAGGCCGACGGGCGCGAGGGAAGCCGGACACGCGAAGGCGAGCGCGGAGGGGGCCAGGGGGGGAAGCAGAACGGGCGAGGCGGGAGGAACCGAACGCCGAGAAGGGCCGAAGCGACGCGCAGCAGAGCCCACGAAAGGGGGAGGGAGAGGGACAGCAGGACGGGGGCCAGGGAAGGCGAAGCCGCGAAGGAGGGGGAACAACGCACCGGCCGAAGCAACGAGCCCGGAAAAGGGAGGGCGGCAAGCGGCGCACCGAGACGCGGCCGGCGGAGCAAGCGCGACGGGCCGACGAGGAGGGGCGCGGCGGGCGGACGCAGCCGGGGGCGCGAGCCAGGGGGGAAACGGCCGCCGGGGCAGAGCGGGGGGGAGGAGCAAATAGGCAAAGGAACGGGAAGACGGAAGGGGAGAAAGGGGCCAGGGAACAGCAGGGGACAGGGGGAGGCGAGCCGAAGAGAGAGGGAAAGCCGGGACAAAGCGGCCCAGGCGCGGACCGCCGAGCGAAAGGGAAGCGGGGAAGAGGCCCGAACCAGAACAGGGAGACGGCCACCGAGGGGCACAAGCGGCAACGCAACCGAACGCGGAGACGGCGGCGAGAGCCCCGGGAAGAGGGCGCGGGGCGGGAACGGGCAACGGGACCCGGAAAGCGGGGAGCCGGAGAGAGGGGGGCACGGCCGGGAAAGCCCCAAACGGCGGGGGGGCCGGGGCGCGGGCGACGGCCCGGGAAAAGCCGAGCGAGGCGGGCAGGGCGGGGCGGGGCGGGACGCAGAACCGCAGCAGGGCGCCAAGGGGAGCAGCCGCGAGGGAGAGAACAAGGGAGGGAAGGGAAGGCGGCAAAAGAGAGCCGGAACGCGGGAAAAGGAGGGGCGCGAAGGGGGGGCGGCGGGGGGGACGGGAAGCGCGAGGCGCGGCGGGGCGGACGGAGAGGCGGGCGGGCGGCGCGGCGAAGGCGGACGGCGAAGGGACGGCGCGGGAGGGACGCAGCGGTGACCGGCAGGGCGAGGCGGCAGGCGAACAACCAACGGAGAACGGGAACGGACAAGGGGAAGCCGACGGGGAAGGAAAACAAAGCAGGGCGAGGCGGGGGACGGGGGGGGACGCAAGGGAGGGTGGCCCAGGGCGGGAAGGGCAAAGGGAAGGAAGGCAGCCAAGCGCGGGTAAACGGCGGGAGGAACGAGGACGCGCGAAGGGAGCCAAAGGCCGCGGCAGCGGGAGGGACGCGCAGGAAGGGAGGAACGAGAGGCCCACGGGCCCGAGCGACGAGCGAGCGAAACCACAGCCAAGGGAACGGGCGGGGCAGCAACAGCGGGGAAAGAAGACCCGGGGGAGCGGGACGCGAGGCGGACGCGGGGAAAAAACAGGAGAGGGGGAGAAGAAGGGGAGGAGCAAGCCGCCGGGGAAAGACCACGACGCGGAGCGGGGGGACGGAGGCGGGGAAGCGGAGCGGGACCGCAACGGCCACGGGGGAGCAGGAAGAGCGCGCGGCGGCCGGGCGAGCCGAGCCGAAGACACGGGCAGGGGAGGGGGGCGGGGGCGGCACGACGGGCAAAGGAGAACGCAGGGGCGAAGGGGAGCGCAAGGAGAACGGAAAGCGCAGGGAGAGCAAAAGGGCAAAAGCGCACGGGAGGGGGAGGGGCAGGAGGAAGACAAACGGGGAAAAAGCAGGGCCGAGCGAGCCCGGAGGCGGGACGAGGGGAGAGGGGGGCAGAAAAGGGACCACAGGGAAACGGGCGGGGGCAGCCAAGCGGCAGAGCGACGGGGCGGGGGGAGGCGGCGAGGGCGGCGCGGCCGAGCAGGGCGAAGCAGAAGGCGCCAAGCGGCGGAGGGGCACCCGCCAAGAGGGAACGGGAGCGGGGGGAGACCGGCGGGAGACAGGGGAGGGGGACCCGACGGGGAAGGGGGGGCAAGAGGAAGGGGCGCAGGACGAGAGAACCGCAGAGGCAGACAATGGGCGCAGGCAGGGCCGGAAAAGACAAGGGGGCGAAGCGACCAGCGGGGGGGGAGGAGGAACGCCGCGAAAGCAGAAGCCGGGCGAGAACGCAACGAGGCCGGGCGCGGGACGGGAAGCGAACACGAAGAGAGACGCGAGCAGGCGCGCGCCGGCGGCACAACGGCCCACGGAGCGGACAAGGCGCCAAAGCACGACAACGAGCAAAAGCGAAAGGGGCCAGAGCGAAAGCAGGGGCAGACGACGGAAAGAAAGAACGGGGGGGGGAAGCAGGAGAGGAGCCGGGGGGCGACGAGCGGCGGAGAGGAAGCCCGGGCGACGAGGGGGGCGGGGGGCCGACACGCACACAGCCGCGGAGCAGGCGGGCCGCAAAAAAAGCCAACAACGCGAGGGCGCCCGAACAGGGGCAGGAGAAGGGGGAGCAGAGCGAGGGCGCGCGAACAGAACCGGCAGAAGGGGAAACAACGAGAGGGCGCGCGAACAGGGGCGGAAAAGGCGCACGGGCGACCCGGACGAAGAGAGAGAAAAACGAGGGCGCGGGAACAGGGCCAAAAAGGCGCGAGGGAGAGCGCGACCAAGAGGCGAAGGAAGCGAGGCGCCCGAACAGGGGCGACAAAGGGCCCAGCAACCCGCACGAAGAGGGGAACAACGCGAGGGCGCCCAACAGGGGCGACAAAGGGCCCAGGCAACCCGCACGAAGAGGGGAACAACGCGGGGCGCCCGAACAGGGGCGACAAAGGGCCCAGGCAACCCGCACGAAGAGGGGAACAACGCGAGGGCGCCCGAACAGGGGCGACAAAGGGCCCAGGCAACCCGCACGAAGAGGGGAACAACGCGAGGGCGCCCGAACAGGGGCGACAAAGGGCCCAGGCAACCCGCACGAAGAGGGGAACAACGCGAGGGCGCCCGAACAGGGGCGACAAAGGGCCCAGGCAACCCGCACGAAGAGGGGAACAACGCGAGGGCGCCCGAACAGGGGCGACAAAGGGCCCAGGCAACCCGCACGAAGAGGGGAACAACGCGAGGGCGCCCGAACAGGGGCGACAAAGGGCCCAGGCAACACGCACGAAGAGGGGAACAACGCGAGGGCGCCCGAACAGGGGCGACAAAGGGCCCAGGCAACCCGCACGAAGAGGGGAACAACGCGAGGGCGCCCGAACAGGGGCGACAAAGGGCCCAGGCAACCCGCACGAAGAGGGGAACAACGCGAGGGCGCCCGAACAGGGGCGACAAAGGGCCCAGGCAACCCGCACGAAGAGGGGAACAACGCGAGGGCGCCCGAACAGGGGCGACAAAGGGCCCAGGCAACCCGCACGAAGAGGGGAACAACGCGAGGGCGCCCGAACAGGGGCGACAAAGGGCCCAGGCAACCCGCACGAAGAGGGGAACAACGCGAGGGCGCCCGAACAGGGGCGACAAAGGGCCCAGGCAACCCGCACGAAGAGGGGAACAACGCGAGGGCGCCCGAACAGGGGCGACAAAGGGCCCAGGCAACCCGCACGAAGAGGGGAACAACGCGAGGGCGCCCGAACAGGGGCGACAAAGGGCCCAGGCAACCCGCACGAAGAGGGGAACAACGCGAGGGCGCCCGAACAGGGGCGACAAAGGGCCCAGGCAACCGCACGAAGAGGGGAACAACGCGAGGGCGCCCGAACAGGGGCGACAAAGGGCCCAGGCAACCCGCACGAAGAGGGGAACAACGCGAGGGCGCCCAACAGGGGCGACAAAGGGCCCAGGCAACCCCCACGAAGAGGGGAACAACGCGAGGGCGGCCGAACAGGGGCGACAAAGGGCCAGGGCAACCCGCACGAAGAGGGGAACAACGCGAGGGCGCCCGAACAGGGGCGACAAAGGGCCCAGGCAACCCGCACGAAGAGGGAACAACGCGAGGGCGCCCGAACAGGGGCGACAAAGGGCCCAGGCAACCCGCACGAAGAGGGGAACAACGCGAGGGCGCCCGAACAGGGGCGACAAAGGGCCCAGGCAACCCGCACGAAGAGGGGAACAACGCGAGGGCGCCCGAACAGGGGCGACAAAGGGCCCAGGCAAACGCACGAAGAGGGAACAACGCGAGGGCGCCCGAACAGGGGCGACAAAGGGCCAGGGCAACCCGCACGAAGAGGGGAACAACGGAGGGCGCCCGAACAGGGGCGACAAAGGGCCCAGGCAACCGCACGAAGAGGGGAACAACGCGAGGGCGCCCGAACAGGGGCGACAAAGGGCCCAGGCAACCCGCACGAAGAGGGAACAACGCGAGGGCGCCCGAACAGGGGCGACAAAGGGCCCAGGCAACCCGCACGAAGAGGGGAACAACGCGAGGGCGCCCGAACAGGGGCGACAAAGGGCCCAGGCAACCCGCACGAAGAGGGGAACAACGCGAGGGCGCCCGAACAGGGGCGACAAAGGGCCCAGGCAACCCGCACGAAGAGGGGAACAACGCGAGGGCGCCCGAACAGGGCGACAAAGGGCCCAGGCAACACGCACGAAGAGGGAACAACGCGAGGGCGCCGGAACAGGGGCGACAAAGGGCCCAGGCAACCCGCACGAAGAGGGGAACAACGCGAGGGCGCCCGAACAGGGGCGACAAAGGGCCCAGGCAACCCCCACGAAGAGGGAACAACGCGAGGGCGCCCGAACAGGGGCGACAAAGGGCCAGGGCAACCCGCACGAAGAGGGGAACAACGCGAGGGCGCCCGAACAGGGGCGACAAAGGGCCCAGGCAACCCGCACGAAGAGGGGAACAACGCGGGCGCCCGAACAGGGGCGACAAAGGGCCCAGGCAACCCGCACGAAGGGGGAACAACGCGAGGCGCCCGAACAGGGGCGACAAAGGGCCCAGGCAACCCGCACGAAGAGGGGAACAACGCGAGGGCGCCCGAACAGGGGCGACAAAGGGCCCAGGCAACCCGCACGAAGAGGGGAACAACGCGAGGGCGCCCGAACAGGGGCGACAAAGGGCCCAGGCAACCCGCACGAAGAGGGGAACAACGCGAGGGCGCCCGAACAGGGGCGACAAAGGGCCCAGGCAACACGCACGAAGAGGGGAACAACGCGAGGGCGCCCGAACAGGGGCGACAAAGGGCCCAGGCAACCCGCACGAAGAGGGGAACAACGCGAGGGGCCCGAACAGGGGCGACAAAGGGCCCAGGCAACCGCACGAAGAGGGGAACAACGCGAGGGCGCCCGACAGGGGCGACAAAGGGCCCAGGCAACCCGCACGAAGAGGGGAACAACGCGAGGGCGCCCGAACAGGGGCGACAAAGGGCCCAGGCACCCCCACGAAGAGGGGAACAACGCGAGGGCGCCCGAACAGGGGCGACAAAGGGCCAGGGCAACCCGCACGAAGAGGGGAACAACGCGAGGGCGCCCGAACAGGGGCGACAAAGGGCCCAGGCAACCCCCACGAAGGGGAACAACGCGAGGGCGCCCGAACAGGGGCGACAAGGGCCCAGGCAACCGCACGAAGAGGGGAACAACGCGAGGGCGCCCGAACAGGGGCGACAAGGGCCCAGGCAACCGGCACGAAGAGGGGAACAACGCGAGGGCGCCGAACAGGGGGACAAAGGGCCCAGGCAACCCGCACGAAGAGGGGAACAACGCGAGGGCGCGCGAACAGGGGCGAAAAAGGGCGGAGGGGGCGGGGAGCGACGGAGGCGAAAGGGCGACAGGGCGGAAGGGAGCGGGCACAGAGGGCGAGCAAAGAGGAGGGGGAGAGAGGGAGGCAAAGGGGGCGGGGGGGCAAGGGGGGCAGAAGCGGGCGGCAAGGAGGAGGGGGCAGCGACGGGGGCGCCGGGGAGAAGGGGGACGAGAGGGGGGGCAGGGGCGCCGCGAAGGAGGGCGAGGGCGAAACAAAACGCGCGCGGCGGGGGGAGAGGCGGCGGCGCGCGAGCGGGGGCGGCCGGGCCGGCGGCCGGCGGGCGAAGAGGCGCGGCGGGCGCGGAAGGGGGCGGCGAAGAGGCGCGAAGGGGGGCACAAGGGCCGGGGGACAAGGGGAACACACAAAGCGAAAGCGCGAGGGCGGCCGGGCCGGGGGGGGCCCAACCAACCGCGCGGGCGGCGCGGCACGCACCGGGCCCAACGCAAACGGGCGGGCGCCCGGCCGGGGGGCGGGGCGGACGAAAGAGCGCGGGGAAGACGGGGCAAAGAAACACACAGAAGAAAGAGGCCCGGGCGAAACGAACCGAACGCGCGCGACGGCGGGCGGGCGCAAGGGGAAACGGGGGGAGCCGGCCAGGAGCAGAGGGGGGCGCAAGAGGAAGCCAGGCAGGGCGAAGGAGAAGCACGGGACGGGGAAACGGCGAAGGGCGCAGGAAAGCAGGGGAGGGGAGGGGACGCGCGGACGACGGGGAACCGGAGGAAGGCGAGAGCGGACAGGCGAAAGGCCCGACGCGCGCGGAAGGGGGAGGGAGGAGAGGAAAAACCAAGGCGGCGGCGCGGCCGCGGACCCACGGGGGGAGGCAGAGGAACGGGGCGAGCGCAGGGCCGGCGGGGGGCGGGCCGGCGAGGGGGCAGGCAAAGGGCGGCCCGAGCAACGGGCGAGGGGAAGGGAGGGGCGGACCAGGGGGGCAACGGGGGACGGAGAAGGAGGGGGCGAGGCCGGAGAGGGAGCCGGAGAAACGGCGACCACAGCCAAGGAAGGCAGCAGGCGCGCGCAAGGACCCAGCCGGACGGGGGAGGGAGGGACAAAAAGAACAAGACAGGGCGGGGGGAGGCGGGGAAGGGGAAGGAGGACAAGGGAAAGCGCGGAACGAGGACCAAGGGGAGGGCAAGGCGGGGGCCAGCAGCCGCGGGAAGGCCAGCGCCAAGAGCGGAGGGGAAAGGGGGGGCAGGGAAAAAGCGCGGAGGGGGAGGGCGGGCGCAGCGAGGGGGGCCGCGGGAGGCAGGGAGGACGAGGGGCGCGAGCCGGCCGCGCGCAGACGGCGCGGGCGCGGACGGGGGGCGGGGAGACGGGACGGGGACGGGGAAAAGGAGGGGGCAAAGCAGGCGGGCGGGGAGACAGAAGCAGGGAAGAAGGGAAGAGGACGGGGGGCGAGGGCCGGGGGGGCGGGAACCGAAGGAAGGAGGAAGAGGACGGGGGGGCAGGCGGAGGGCGGGGCAGAGGGGAAAGGCGGGGAGGGACGAAAGACGAACGAAGGCGAAAGCAGGGGCCAAGAAGGGGGCAGGAAGCAAGAACGAAAGGGAGAGGAGCGAAGACGAGCAGAGACCGGCCGAGGGCGAACCAGAAACGAGGCCGACGAGGGAGCAGCGAGGGGAGGGAGGACCGCGGGGGACCGGAGGGGAAACCAAGGGGGGGGCCGGGGGAAGGAGGGGGGCAAAGCGGAAACGGAAAGGAAGGGACGGAAGGGCACCACCAGGAGGGGAGCCGGCGGCGGAAGGGACGCAACACGGGGAAAACGCACCAGGGCCAGACAGAGGAAGGACGGGACAGAGGGAGAGCGCGGGCGGGAGGCGGGGGGGGGCAGGGCCGGGCGGAGGGGGGGGAGGTGGGCGGGGGAAGTGCCGGGAACGAACGAGACCGGGACCGGCGAAAGAGGCAGACGAGGCGCGAAGCGCGCGCGACGGCGGAGAGGGACGGGGGCGGGGTGAACCAAAGGCAGGAAGGCAAGAACAGGGCGGGAGGCCCGGAGGGCCGGGCCGCACGCGCGCGACACGGACGAGGCAACGAGGCGCGCCGGCACCGAAAGGGGGAGGGGGGCGGGGGAAGCAGCGGCGGGCGGGGGAGAGAGCAGGGAAGGCGGGGAGCGGGAACGAGGAATGCCGTAGGAAGCGCGAGGCAGCAGCGCGCGGGAGGACGGCCCGGCCCGGGGGACACACCGCCCGGCGCGACGACCGAGGGAAGGGTGGAGGGAGGCCGCCGGAGGGGCACGGGCAGAGGGGCGGCGGCCCAGCCGACGGACGGCCAAAAAGGGGGGCAAACGGGAGCAGGGAGAGGAAGGAAAAGGCGGAACAAGGGCCGGAGGGGAACCGGCGGAAGGAGCAGCAACGGGGCGAGCGGCAAGCGAACGCGCGGGAACGGACAAACCACGAGGGAGGGGAGCGCGCGGGCGCGCGGAAAGGGGCGGGGGAGGGGACACAGCGAGCGCGAAACGCGAGGAGCGCGGCAGGGCGCCAGGGCCCGGCCGCCCCAGGGGACGGGGCAAACACAACACGGCGAAGGGGAACGGGGCGGAGGGAGGGGGCAGGCAAAGAGAGAGACAACGGGGAACGGGGGAGCGCGGGGCGCGGGCAGCGGGAAGAACGCAGCCAGCGGCGAGACGGAGGGGGAAGGGCAGAAGGCAGGGAAGCAGCGAAGCGGGAACGCAAAGGGCGCCGCGGGGAGACCGGGAGCAGGGCGGCGGAGGGGGGGGAACGAAACGCCGGGCGGGGGCGACGCGAGGGGGGCGGCGGGCCGCAGCGCGAAGCGGCGCGGCCCGCGAAGGGCAGCACACGGGGCCGGCGCGACGGGACCGACGCGCGAACGAAGCCGAAACGAGGGGAGAGCAAGGGAGCGCGGCGGAGCGCGCGGGCCGGCCGACGCGCGCAACAGAGGCCAGGGAGGCAGGCAGGAACCGCAGAGCAGGCAAGAGGACCCGCGGAAGGAAGCAGAGGACGAAGCGGAGGAAAAGAAACGAACAAGGAGGCCCCAGGAAGGGCGAAGGAAGAGGGAACAGCGCAACGGGAAAAGCGCCGGGGGGCAGCGGCGAAGGGGAGGGGCGAGAAGGACGGGCCCGGCGCAACGAGGCGGCCGAAGGGGCGGGGAACAGCACGGCACAGAGGGGGACAACCCCGGACGGGGCAAGGCGCGAGCGCGCGCGAGGGGCGGGCGAAGAGGCGGGGGGGGGGGAAGGCAGCCCAAAACGGGGGGAAACGCCAGCGAAAGCGAAAGACAGGCACGAGACCGAGAGCGAACAAGGACCGGGAGGGAAAGAGGAAAAGGACGGGGAAAAGAGAGGGAAAGAGGACGGGAAACCGGGAAAGGGAAGCGAAGGAGGGAGCAAGGCGCCCCGCCAGAGGCAGGCGCGCGCGCAGCGCGACGGGCGCGCGCGCGAGCCGCAGGGACGAGGCGCGCGCGGACGCGGGGCGCGGACGGCGCACGGCGGGCGCGCGGCGAGCGGCAGCGGCGGGGGGCGACGGGCGAGAAGGGCGCAAGGAAGGGGGACCGGCCGCGCGGCGGGGAAGACGGGCGCGCGCAGAGCGCGGCGGCGACCGGGGGCGGCGGCGCGGGCGCGGCGGGCGACCCGACCGAGCGGGCCGGCAGGGCGACCGGGGCGGACGGCACGCCGGGGCGCGCGAACCGCGGCCGGGCGAGCGGGACGGGGGGCGCACACGACGCGCCGAGGAGGCGGACGACCAGACGGCGCCAGCCGACCCGGCGGGAAACACGGACCAAGGAGGCGAACAGGGGCGCGAGGCGCCGGGGAGCGAAACCCGGGGGCGCAAGGAAGGAAAGGCCGGCCGCGGACGGGGAGGGGAGAAGCGGCGGGCACAGGCGGCGCCGCAGCAGCGACCGACCGGGCGGCGCGCAGAGAGGGGAGGAAGAGCGGAGCGGGGGGACCCGAAAGAGGGGAACGAGGCCGGAAGAGGGGGAAGCCAGCGGAAACACGGGGGGAAGCGCGGAGCGATGCGGACGGGCAAAGCGAGCGGCGAAGGGGGGGAGAGCGGCGAAGACGAAGCGAACCAGCGAGGAGCGGGGCCCGCCGAAGGGGCCCGCAGGAGAGCGGGAGGGCAGACAGGCAGGGGGAGCAGGGAAAGCGAAGGAGGAGAGGGCGGAGGGCGAAAGGACCGGAACCGAGGCGCAAACGGGAAAGGGGGAAGAAGGCCGACGGGCGCGAGGGAAGCCGGACACGCGAAGGCGAGCGCGGGGGGCCAGGGGGGGAAGCAGAACGGGCGAGGCGGGAGGAACCGAACGCCGAGGGAAGGGGCCGAAGGCGACGCGCAGCAGAGCCACGAAAGGGGAGGGAGAGGGACAGCAGGACGGGGGCCAGGGAAGGCGGAAGCCGCGAGGAGGGGGAACAACGCACCGGCCGAAGCAACGAGCCCGGAAAAGGGAGGCGCGCAAGCGGCGCACCGAGACGCGGCCGGCGGAGCAAGCGCGACGGGCCGACAGGAGGGAGGGCGCGGCGGGCGGGACGCAGCCGGGGGCGCGAGCCAGGGGGAAACGGCCGCCGGGGCAGAGCGGGGGGAGGAGCAAGAGGCAAAGGAGAACGGGGAAGACGGAAGGGGAGAAAGGGGCCAGGGAACAGCAGGGGGACAGGGGGAGGCGAGCCGAAGAGAGAGGGAAGGCCGGGACAAAGCGGCCCAGGCGCGGACCGCCGAGCGAAAGGGAAGCGGGGGAAGAGGCCCGAACCAGAACAGGGAGACGGCCACCGAGGGGCACAAGCGGCAACGCAACCGAACGCGGAGACGGCGGCGAGAGCCCCGGGAAGAGGGCGCGGGGCGGGGGAACGGGCAACGGGACCCGGAAAGCGGGGGAGCCGGAGAGAGGGGGGCACGGCCGGGAAAGCCCCAAACGGCGGGGGGGCCGGGGCGCGGGCGACGGCCCGGGAAAAGCCGAGCGAGGCGGGCAGGGGCGGGGCGGGGCGGACGCAGAACCGCAGCAGGGCGCCAAGGGGAGCAGCCGCGAGGGGAGAGAACAAGGGAGGGAAGGGAAGGCGGCAAAAGAGAGTCCGGAACGGCGGGAAAAGGAGGGGCGCGAAGGGGGGGGCTGGCGGGCGGGGACGGGAAGCGCGAGGACGCGGCGGGGGCGGACGGAGAGGCGGGGCGGCGGCGCGGCGAAGGCGGACGGCGAAGGGGACGGCGCGGGGAGGGACGCAGCGGGGACCGGCAGGGCGAGGCGGCAGGCGAGGAACAACCAACGGAGAACGGGAACGGACAAGGGGAAGCCGACGGGGGAAGGAAACAAGCAGGGCGAGGCGGGGGACGGGGGGGGACGCAAGGGAGGGCGGCCCAGGGCGCGGAAGGGCAAAGGAAGGAAGGCAGCCAAGCGCGGGGAAACGGCGGGAGGGAACGAGGACGCTGCGAAGGGAGCCAAAGGCCGCGGCAGCGAAGGAGGGACGCGCAGGGAAGGGAGGAACGAGAGGTCCCACGGGCCCGAGCGACGAGCGAGCGAAACCACAGCCAAGGGAACGGGCGGTGGCAGCAACAGCGGGGAAAGAAGACCCGGGGAGCGGGACGCGAGGCGTGACGCGGGGAAAAAACAGGAGAGGGGAGAAGAAGGGGGAGGAGCAAGCCGCCGGGGAAGACCACACGCTAGCGGGGGTGGACGGAGGCGGGGAAGCGGAGCGGGACCGCAACGGCCACGTGGGCAGGAAGAGCGCGCGGCGGCCGGGCGAGCCGAGCCGAAGACACGGGCAGGGGGAGGGGGGGCGGGGCGGCACGACGGGCAAAGGAGAACGCAGGGGGCCTAAGGGGAGCGCAAGGAGAACGAAAGCGCAGGGAGAGCAAAAGGGCAAAGCGCACGGGAGGGGAGGGCAGGAGGAGACAAACGGGGAAAGCAGGGCCGAGCGAGCCCGGAGGCGGGACGAGGGGGAGCGAGGGGGGGCAGAAAAGGGTACCACAGGGAGACGGGCGGGGGGCAGCCAAGCGGGCAGAGCGACGGTGGCGGGGAGGCGGCGAGGCGGCGCGGCCGAGCGTGCGAAGCAGAAGGCGCCAAGCGGGGGTGGGCACCCGCCAAGAGGGAACGGGAGCGGGGGGAGACCGGCGGGAGACAGGGAGTGGGACCCGAGGGGAAGGGGGGGGCAAGAGAAGGCGGCGCAGGACGAGAGGAACCGCAGAGGCAGACAAGGGGCGCAGGCACGGGCCGGAAAAGACAAGGGGCGAAGCGACCAGCGGGGGAGGAGGAGGGAACGCCGCGAAAGCAGAAGCCGGGCGAGAACGCAACGAGGCCGGGGCGCGGGACGACGGAAGCGAACACGAAGAGAGACGCGAGCAGGCGCGCCGCCGGCGGCACAACGGGCCCACGGAGCGGACAAGGCGCCAAAGCACGACAACGAGCAAAAGCGAAAGGGGCCAGAGCGAAAGCAGGGGCAGACGACGGAAAGAAAGAACGGGGAGGGAAGCAGGGAGGAGCCGGGGGCGAGCGGCGGAGAGGAAGCCCGGGGGCGACGAGGGGGGCGGGGGCCCGACACGCACACAGCCGCGGAGCAGGCGAACAGGGCCGCAAAAAAAGCCAACAACGCGAGGGCGCCCGAACAGGGGCAGGAGAAGGGGGAGCAGAGCGAGGGCGCGCGAACAGAACCGGCAGAAGAGGGAAACAACGAGAGGGCGCGCGAACGGGGCGGAAAGGCGCACGGGCGACCCGGACGAAGAGGAGAGAAAACGAGGCGCGGGAACAGGGCCAAAAAGGCGCGAGAGAGCGCGACCAAGAGGCGAAGGAAGCGAGGGCGCCAGAACAGGGGCGACAAAGGGCCCAGGCAACCCCACGAAGAGGGGAACAACGCGAGGGCGCCCGAACAGGGGCGACAAAGGGCCCAGGCAACCCGCACGAAGAGGGGAACAACGCGAGGGCGCCCGAACAGGGGCGACAAAGGGCCCAGGCAACCCGCACGAAGAGGGGAACAACGCGAGGGCGCCGAACAGGGGCGACAAAGGGCCCAGGCAACCCGCACGAAGAGGGGAACAACGCGAGGGCGCCCGAACAGGGGCGACAAAGGGCCCAGGCAACCCCACGAAGGGGAACAACGCGAGGGCGCCCGAACAGGGGCGACAAAGGGCCCAGGCAACCCGCACGAAGAGGGGAACAACGCGAGGGCGCCCGAACAGGGGCGACAAAGGGCCCAGGCAACCCGCACGAAGAGGGGAACAACGCGAGCGCCGAACAGGGGCGACAAAGGGCCCAGGCAACACGCACGAAGAGGGGAACAACGCGAGGGCGCCCGAACAGGGGCGACAAAGGGCCCAGGCAACCGCACGAAGAGGGGAACAACGCGAGGGCGCCCGAACAGGGGCGACAAAGGGCCCAGGCAACCCGCACGAAGAGGGAACAACGCGAGGGCGCCCGAACAGGGGCGACAAAGGGCCAGGCAACCCGCACGAAGAGGGGAACAACGCGAGGGCGCCCGAACAGGGGCGACAAAGGGCCCAGGCAACCCACGAAGAGGGAACAACGCGAGGGCGCCCGAACAGGGCGACAAAGGGCCCAGGCAACCCGCACGAAGAGGGGAACAACGCGAGGGCGCCCGAACAGGGGCGACAAAGGGCCCAGGCAACCCCACGAAGAGGGGAACAACGCGAGGGCGCCCGAACAGGGGCGACAAAGGGCCCAGGCAACCCGCACGAAGAGGGGAACAACGCGAGGGCGCCCGAACAGGGGCGACAAAGGGCCCAGGCAACCCCACGAAGAGGGGAACAACGCGAGGGCGCCCGAACAGGGGCGACAAAGGGCCCAGGCAACCCGCACGAAGAGGGGAACAACGCGAGGGCGCCCGAACAGGGGCGACAAAGGGCCCAGGCAACCCCACGAAGAGGGAACAACGCGAGGGCGCCCGAACAGGGGCGACAAAGGGCCCAGGCAACCCCACGAAGAGGGAACAACGCGAGGGCGCCCGAACAGGGGCGACAAAGGGCCCAGGCAACCCGCACGAAGAGGGGAACAACGCGAGGGCGCCCGAACAGGGGCGACAAAGGGCCCAGGCAACCCGCACGAAGGGGAACAACGCGAGGGCGCCCGAACAGGGGCGACAAAGGGCCAGGCAACCCGCACGAAGAGGGGAACAACGCGAGGGCGCCCGAACAGGGGCGACAAAGGGCCCAGGCAACCCGCACGAAGAGGGGAACAACGCGAGGGCGCCCGAACAGGGGCGACAAAGGGCCCAGGCAACCCCACGAAGAGGGGAACAACGCGAGGGCGCCCGAACAGGGGCGACAAAGGGCCAGGCAACCCGCACGAAGAGGGGAACAACGCGAGGGCGCCCGAACAGGGGCGACAAAGGGCCCAGGCAACCCGCACGAAGAGGGGAACAACGCGAGGGCGCCCGAACAGGGGCGACAAAGGGCCCAGGCAACCCGCACGAAGAGGGGAACAACGCGAGGGCGCCCGAACAGGGGCGACAAAGGGCCCAGGCAACCCGCACGAAGAGGGGAACAACGCGAGGGCGCCCGAACAGGGGCGACAAAGGGCCCAGGCAACCCGCACGAAGAGGGGAACAACGCGAGGGCGCCCGAACAGGGGCGACAAAGGGCCCAGGCAACGCACGAAGAGGGGAACAACGCGGGGCGCCCGAACAGGGGCGACAAAGGGCCCAGGCAACCCGCACGAAGAGGGGAACAACGCGAGGGCGCCCGAACAGGGGCGACAAAGGGCCCAGGCAACCCCCACGAAGAGGGAACAACGCGAGGGCGCCCGAACAGGGGCGACAAAGGGCCAGGGCAACCCGCACGAAGAGGGGAACAACGCGAGGGCGCCCGAACAGGGGCGACAAAGGGCCCAGGCAACCCCCACGAAGAGGGGAACAACGCGAGGGCGCCCGAACAGGGGCGACAAAGGGCCCAGGCAACCGCACGAAGAGGGGAACAACGCGAGGGCGCCCGAACAGGGGCGACAAAGGGCCCAGGCAACCGGCACGAAGAGGGGAACAACGCGGGGCGCCCGAACAGGGGGACAAAGGGCCCAGGCAACCCGCACGAAGAGGGGAACAACGCGAGGGCGCGCGAACAGGGGCGAAAAAGGGCGGAGGGGGCGGGGAGCGACGGAGGCGAAAGGGCGACAGGGCGGAAGGGAGCGGGCACAGAGGGCGAGCAAAGAGGAGGGGGAGAGAGGGAGGCAAAGGGGGCGGGGGGGCAAGGGGGCAGAAGCGGGCGGCAAGGAGGAGGGGCAGCGACGGGGGCGCCGGGGAGAAGGGGACGAGAGGAGGGGCAGGGGCGCCGCGAAGGAGGGCGAGGGCGAAACAAAACGCGCGGCGGGGGGGGAGAGGCGGCGGCGCGCGAGCGGGGGCGGCCGGGCCGGCGGCCGGCGGGCGAAGAGGCGCGGCGGGCGCGGAAGGGGGCGGCGAAGAGGCGCGAAGGGGGGCACAAGGGCCGGGGGACAAGGGGAACACACAAAGCGAAAGCGCGAGGGCGGCCGGGCCGGGGGGGGGCCCAACCAACCGCGCGGGCGGCGCGGCACGCACCGGGCCCAACGCAAACGGGCGGGCGCCCGGCCGGGGGGCGGGGGCGGACGAAAGAGCGCGGGGAAAGACGGGGCAAAGAAACACACAGAAAAGAGGCCCGGGCGAAAACGAACCGAACGCGCGCGACGGCGGGCGGGCGCAAGGGGAGGGAACG